ARCAATCATAAATTGGACAACTGTAAATTAGTGTCATCAGTGGTGTGCAGGGGAAGAATTGGAAGWTATTTACCGGACAAAAACCTGCACAATGCAGAAATACAACGCATTTAATGGTTTTTACCTCCATTCAGATCTGTTAACTATTATCTCAATGGAAATAGCAGGCAACCTATTGTCAGGGTATGAGCTTTCAGTTGTAGCAGTTTGGGAACTTCCATGGCCATATATCAGCCTGAAACCTCACCCTTGTTCTCCAGTTATTTGTTCCCTGTTGCTGTTCTCTTAATTGAAGATGCAAGTAGATGTTAACTTCCTCTCTTTGGAAGGTTGATCCTGCAGAATTTAGGCAAATAAGTGCTCAGTGTAAAATGGAGGTAACTGAAGTGAGTGGTATGGTTGATGTACATTGGATTYGAGGAGATCCAGCACTAAGGGCATTGCATAGGCTTTGGTGACTTCCTGGCCTATGTGGCTGATGTTGATTTAAGTGCCCTCAGGGCCAGATCCTGTAGTGTGTGCTTAGCACACAGATGTGTTGCACTGACTTCCACAGAAGTAGAGGAACTGAACACATCATTGGATGCATTCAGGTTTGTGCTTGGCAAGAAGGGACTCCCAAGTATTTAAAGCTAGTATAAGTGATAATGCACTATTACAATTGTTGTGTTAGATGGCTGAATGTGATACCACATATATTGGCCAAATCAATCTCCTAAAGCTTGGATTCTGTGAGGATTAGTGCAGAGAACCCTAAAAACCCCCACTGAGTTTGGCATGGTATCCCTGTAAACTCAATGGAATATTACTTGAATAAAGAAGTTACAGTTATACTGAGCAGGAGTAAACTGAGAGTGTCCAAAAAATGTAGGGGATTTAAGTGTGTTCAGATACCAAGTATCAACATGTAGAAATTTCAGCCTCAGGAAGTTTTAATGGAAGGAAGTAGCTTAATCACTCAGTATATGTTGCATCTTTAGCTGAAAGTTTAACATCACAAAATGACATTGCTATGCAGCTCTAAGAATCACACCAATGTATTCAATCATTTCCCCTGCTTTTCAAGTCTGTTGTTCATTAAAAGCTCTTCTGTTTGCAGTTTCCAGTTTTCAAATGGATTACACAACGTGTGCATAGCTCAATGTTCATTCTCATGAGTCATAATTAATAAATAATCATATCACATACACAGAATTTTACAGGTACTCTTAAAATGGTTTTACAGTTCTATTAAATACATAGATAAAATAATCACTGCATAAAAAAATCATTTAAAACAGCTGAACTCTCAAGCTTTGCATAAAATTCTGTAGACACATTCATTACAATYTAGAAACTCAATAAAAATACATTTTAGAGCTCAATCTCTCAAAAATATTCATGGCATTGAAAACTGATTGTCATTTTTTACTGTAGTCTATGCTTGCCCTGCCTTTGCACTGATAATTTCCTACAATTTGGCAAAAGCAATATTCCAGTCTGTAGATTGTGTGACTATGTAACTCATCTCCTCAACTCTAAGTTACCTGCCCCATAAATGTTTAGTGGGATTCTGTCTTTAGTAGTCTATCTTTCCTTGCACTTCCTATAAAATCATAGTGAAACACTGCGTTAAGTTACATGACCTACAATGACACTGAACCATCCTATTACAGTTGYCACTCTGTCTTTAATGGTGCTTCTGTGAATACCAAACATCCTTTATCCAGTGATCCTCAAGGCACTTCCTGACACTTAYATTTCACAATGCTCTGCTACCCACATTTGCTGAAAACCAGCAGGTTTTAGAAAGAGTCTTAACAGATAAGTAAGTACCTCTGTATATCTGAACTTGGCTGCTGAATCAATATACCAAATGTGGTCAGTTCAAGCTTAACATTTTTCAGAAACCCAGGTAAAAATTCAGGACAAACTTCTGTATTCAGACAGTGCACATATCTGTTAGAAAATGGGTAGACAATAGATTGCCCACCAGGCTTTAAACCCACACTACTGCCAGCCAGTCATCTGGGCAGCAAGTTAAAATAGGCTTTGCCACAGTCAATGTTCCATAATCAGGCTTTCAGGCAGTAGCTCAGAATAGGCCACAAACCTCAAAATCAAGCAATGTTTTCAGAAGAGGGCACTTGCATTAAGGGATTGGATCTTGCACTGTGGAAGAAGAGATGYAGGTTCACAAGTCAACTGAACTCCAGGAAGCTGCTGCTTATGCAGATGTCACTTTTTACAGTCCCATGTAAAGGCAAAACTCTTGAAGAATTCAGTTTTTTTTAGGCACAGTTGAAAGTATAATCACATTTAGTGTTTCACCCTGGATATTCTCACCTATGGAATGGCTGGGTAAGGTACATTGCTTCTGTTATAGCAAACCCACAACAAAACAAACCCAAAAGTGTCATGGAATAAATTAGGGTTTTTTYCCCACCTATTTTGGATGGAAGAAGCCATCTTTCTCTCTCAGTGGGATAGGCTGGAAAGTGTACATCAATTGAAACACTGGTTGAGATGACCAAGGCAATTGCTGGATGCTGTTTGACATCTCACCTGCTCATTTCAATGTTTCAGTCACTGTTCATTCTGTGGMAGGTAACAAAGAAAACCTTGTGTTTTCTTCTTCATGGACAAAAATACTGTGTAATGACATTTCTGGCATCAGTGCATTCCTGTTCACCTTTTCATTCTTCATGGATATCATGTTTAGATAAGACATCCAAAGAGCTCCTCATCCTAATTCATTTTCTTAGGAGGAAGGAAAGAAGCAGAAGGGAGCATACTTTACTTCACTGAACTTTGGTAACTGTAAAACCCTATAAAGAGACGGTAATCCAACTCCAAATAACTTCTGCTGAAATTAATAAACACAGAAGAACCAGACAGTAAAGATACAAAGGGTCAGAAAAGGTCATAAACCAAAGAAGCCTAGGAAGAATGGAACATAATGAAAAGGTGTCAACAGTTTTGCTCCAAACTAGGGTAGTGCACTTCTCCTTGATGCTATTAAATAGATAGCCTGGTATTCCCTGGTTTTCAGGATAAGCATATAACGTTTCTTGTACTAAGTTTTCTTCTTTCAGAGGAAAAAGCACTAACCCTTCAGTAATCTATTTTAGCRTACTCCCAGAAAGCACCTTAAATGATTCTAATATAGGGGTTTTTTTTKGAAGAAGGCATCACTGTCTTTCACAACAAGCACAAACAGGTTCATGGATCACAAAATCAGATGAYTCAAAACACTGAATGTTTTCATGAGCAAGATGAAAGAATGTATTTTTTTACTTATGCTGATTTAACCAGGATTGGATCTTGCACTGTGGGATCCAAACTGGGACATTTGGATCTGTTCCTCAGCAAGAACAATGGATCTTATTTTCAGGTTCATGGGGTGAATCCAGCTTTAGTCAACAGTGGCAGGACAGAATAGGACAGAATCTCTACTGCTAATGAATCCTAACTGCAGCTCAGAAGAAAAATCCCAGGGGAACAAAACACTTATGAAGAAGAATGAAGTGTGATGGATGTTTAGGATTACCCCAGCAGATAATGTAGTTACAAACAGGCTTTAAATACTTGCAAATAAATTGGTATATATTCTGATCTGTCTTGATCCCAGGTACTATTAGTTCATCTGAACACTTAGCCAGGGGAGGGATGCACCTTATGGTACAACAAAATATGTGAAATTTATAGTCAAGTGATTTAATTTTCACTCAGTGTAAAATTATGAAACCCTTAATTTTAGRAAAAGCATTGCAGTCAACCTTCTGAATTTTCAGAGGGAAGCAGCAATGTGTTGTAGTTCATAAAGCATACTCTGAAACTAAAAATGTGGCAGTGAAAATAGTGACTTCACTAAAAGTCACATGGAGAAAAGTTACTGCTATTAAATTGAAGACTTCTCCTTTGTCCTACAAAGCATGGGTTACACCTTCTCTGGCAAAAATCCTGTATCAAAGATCCTAAAGTGATCGTTGATGTGGACAAAAATTACAAGAGACAGAAGTAGCTCGACCTTGACTGTGGACAAAAAACCACAGGATTCTCCTCAGTTGCACTAGGAAGTCAATACTTGTTGCAACCTTTCACTGTTTTAGTGTTACACATCATTTCTTTCTCAATTGATTTGGACACTTAAATATATTTCTAATACTTTTACCATGCTCTGGTGCCTTACCAGTTGCCTCAGCAAAGTAGGTTACCTATTATTTTCTGTATCTGCAAAAGAGAGAAATCTTCATGCAATCTGTAAGTAAAAGCAGCAGAGAAATTGAAGCAGAAGCAGGCTCAGAAGATCTGAGGTACTTTTAAAACACTAGCTCTAGCCTGAGATTTCCCATATAAACTCTCYTAAGAAGCAGCCAGCATGTATGTTCTTCACACTTCTCCATACCCAATTTATTCCTACAAGTGAAACATACCAAAAGATGCAGGATAGAATTTAAATACTAAAAAAATCAAACTTCCTTATCCCCATAAACCCTCAACCTGATTTTGATGCTCCACTGGATTTGCTACTGGAACTGTAATCAATTCCTGGTGTGTTTCACTAGCTTTAGCTCTGCTCTGCCTCCAACTCTTTCAAATAATTCAATGGAAAATGTGAAGAAGCATTTCTAGCCTTGCCCTTGGAGGTGGCTAGGTCCAGAGGTAAGTCAACACCATCCCTCTTCCACAGCTGTCAGGCCCTACATAGGAAAATGAAGCCAGAAGAATAATTTTTTAAGACTAGAGCTCTGAATTGTTCATACTTCTACTGATAATTATCTGGTTTTATTTAGCATCTTATAAAGCAAGGCACAAATGTACAAAATTGCATCTACTAAATCAGGTAATTTTTATATATATTTACACAGTTACCATAATATAAAATGTGCTTTGACACTGTCATAGCACAATAGTAGAGGAATTGAGGACAACCTGATAATAAACACAAATACCAGGTCCTGGATTTCTGTTTGTGCTTCACCTGAAGGAACATATTCATATGCAGATACACAAAGCAATCCAGCCACCATCCTTTATTTTCCACCCCTCACACAGATCAAGCTTTGTTGCTAAGAAGCTGTGGAAGGAGTAAAAGGCAGTAGACCAGCACCCAGAAGAAAATGAAAAAGTAGAATAGCTCTGGCTGCTCAAAAATTGTAATMTCGTGAGCTGGTGCTGGAGTCTCGCTTTCTTCCAAGTCCTTTTTCTTCCTGAAAACAGGAGAAAATTCAATAAGAGCAAGGAAAAGAAGAAAAAAACCTTCAGTGTTAATAATTACTGTAAAGAGAAGAAGGTGGACTAAAAGGCAGCAGTTTAATGAACCTTTTCAGTCTAGATGGCTGGARTCCCAGCTAGACTAGGAGGGGCATACTGGGCGTTAGCAGTGTGCTCCTTCCAGAGCCAACATACGTTAGAATCAACCTTCTGAAAACTCCAGACAAATGTACATGCCATCGCAGCACAGCCCTCTGATGTAAGGAAATTTCCACCKGTCAAAAAGATGCTCTTTTATCTTAGAACAGTAAGCATAGCTCTGGGCAACACATATCACACTTCRACAATATTGCTCATACAATGTGTATGTACCTGAGTATTTCACAAAATTCACTTAATATCAGCAAATTGTACAGCTGATACAACTGTAACAGCTATCTGTGTATTTTTTTCAACAGAAGCATAAGTGAGACCAGGCCAGTGGATCTTGATAATATTTTGTATGTTGCCAGCATCTRAATATTAACAACAACTTTACCTAGAAGTTCTGAGAAGTACTATTCATATCAACTAAGAAGGAAAACCYAAAGTAATCCTTGTTTCTTAAAGATATGTAGACCCTAATACCAAAGGGATTCACACACACTGTGTTCACGACCCATCACCCTAAGTCTAAACTAAACACACATACAAATTAYCCAAACTCATGGATGCTCAAACAGAGGCCAGACTTCCACTGAAGTAATTGACTTTCCCTAGCACTGGTCTCACTGAACATTGTTTTGACTGTCTSCCAAACCTGGAGGAGTCATCACTGCTAAAGGGCCTAACACTTGCAGTTCTCCCATTCTTTTCTCAGCCTGAGATATCCACCACATGGGGAAAGTGCTCAGAATCTTGCTTAGACACCTGAATCTTTCAAGTCAAGAAAAAGCATTTTAGTCAAGGGACAGATTGAGCAATAAGGAAGTTTTATACTTCTATATATACAGTTTTTGTGTCTAATACCTTTGGGAAATGTGGACTCTGGGCCATTACAGAAGACAGTTGCTATCATTATAATTGATTTCCAGCTCCCTTTTGTATCACTGCTAGTRGTACCTACGAATTATGGATTCCTTGCAAAAGTCAGTCTGAATAAGAACCACTCACCCAATGATTAATGGATTTTCATCCATATCTGTCATCTTCTGCTCATTTACATCATAGGTTTCCTTAAACAAACCAGGAATAGATTAGATAACAAAAATAAAATTCAGCATCTCAAAAAAGTGATAATTGTGTGAGTATTTTATTCAAATTGTATCTAATATTTGCTSAAATAAAATGAAAGTGTGCATATAAACATATTCCCTGTCAGCACATACAGCACTAYAGTCTGGTTGGTACACACACAGAAAAGGAAAAAAGTTGTGAAGTAAGATTTTTTTGCTTTCAACAGTTTGCTTTCATCAGCTGAATAAAGCTCCTCTCATTCATATGTATTTCTAGTAGCTCTGACAGCATTGCAAAGCTAGAGCATCTGTGTGAAACCTCCCTTTCACTGAACATTGGTGGAAACATTTTTTAAAACTCCAAGATGGTCCTAATTTTATTATTATGTTGAAAAAAAGCCATATTCTTATCCTAGCTCAGCATGCCCAGATTGCTGATGCTGTCCCTTCCTTCTGACTTTAAAAATTAAAATCCAGAACTCAGCTGTATAGTGTGCTCTCATGAAACCAGTATGGATCACATCTTTCATTAGGGATGCAATTTCATGTTACAACTAAAATTCTTTTAGGTTTAGCTGCTGCTACTGATAATATAAAACATTGCTACTGTGAGGGAAAGTGAGGGAGCCAAATTTTTCAGAAACAGTGTTCTTTAGGAGACATTCAGCATTTTTGCAGGGTTGAGACCAAGGCACTGACATCACACAGGGAATGCAAAAACTAAAAGAAACTGGGGCAGAAAATAAAGGCAGCTACAAACAAGCAAAATGTTGCAGCTATACAGTTATGATGAAGTAAGACTTGAAGTTACAATATATTTAACTCTAGTATTATGTACTCTTTTGTGGATTTTTTCAAGGTTCAGTTAAGTTTAGTTCCATGTATTTAGAATAGAGTTCAGTAAAACTTTGCAACTATGGCTGGTTTTAGCACTAAACTTATTAGAAGTCACAAGATTTTTTATACTGTCAATAGCCTTTTTACAGAGTGTGAACTTCTGGAGTTTAAGAGAACCAGAGAAACAGCAATAAATAAACGTCCACACACTTACCTCCTCAGAAGCATTACGAGAAAACCTTTTTCGGAGATGAATGTTGGCATCACTGTCATTGCTTCTGGAATGTATGTAAAAGCAAGGGTTTTAAATTCATAACACTAAGTTAAAAAGAGCCACTGCAAATGGACATGACAGGTTTATGCTATGAAAAACCTCAAATATGCATTGTTGAATGTATCAGAATAGGGACTGGATTTTATCAGTAACATGATAAAAATGGCTTTGGGAAAATCTGACCCACAATAAAAAATTCATGTGCTTAAAAAGGAATCTATTCTGGAAAATTGTATCTGACATCATTTTTGCACTTTTGACATCACTGAGATTTAAGGGAGTATACCCAAATTCTGTGGCCATTGATGTTAAAAAAAAAAAAAAGAAACTGACTGACAGGGAATAGAAAGCTTGAAGGCGACAATGGATTTTTCTAAGCAAACTCTCAAATTCATTAGAGTGCTCCAGTGATAAGCATCAACAAATTACTGTTCATGTCCCACTCAAATACATTACCTAAGAAAAAATTAGAACATAAGAAAAACCAGAAGTGGATGGTGCAAAATTAGCTGAGTGTCTCTGCACTGGGTCTGGCTGGGCTGCAGTTAAATTTCCCTGGAGCAGCCCCTCTAGTGCTGTGCTTTGTACTCACAGCTTGAATGCTGCTGGTCTCACCCCAGTGGGCTGGGACTGGGCAAGAGGTTGGGAGGGGATACAGGCAGGAGAAGTGACCCAAACTGACCACAGGGCAGACACACACATACACACACATACACACACACTCTTGTTAYTACATCTGTCTTCTCGAACAACCACTATACTGTGCTTCCCAAGTGGCTGGACATTGCCCTGCTGATGGGAAGTAGAGAATAAATAACTTTTTTTTTTTTGTCTTCTTCTAATTTGCTTCCACACATGGCCTTTACATTTTTTTCATTAAAATGCCTTTACCTCAACCCATGAGTTCTTMATCTTATTTTCTCTCTAATACCTTATTTACTTTTTCATAACCAGAAAAAGCATCCAGAAAGTATCTATCGGAATCAATCAGTGTCACACTTCCACATAGTGTCACAATGCACATGGATTATTTAATCAACATTACAAAATGCTCTCTGTTGGAAAAGCAGTTATAACACTTCCATGTTCAAAATGCACTAGGCTTCCACTTGGGTTTTGTGTTGCAATGTTTGTGTAGCACAGTCAAATCAAGTCCCACTGAATCACTTGGCATGTTTAAGAGAAAGACAGGAAGAAGCCAAATGAGTCTCAATACTTCTTCCTGAAACAAGACTACAACAAACATCCAATGGATATGGCACATTTCAAAAGACCAGTTAGGTGTATTTAAGATAAAGTTAATGTGAAATACCTGATAAATTCCTGGAATTCAGCATTTTCTTCCAGGTTCTCTTCTGATAGAGTTGTAGTGGCAACTTCTGAGCTCTGCAAATCTTCGATCATATTTTTCCCTTCCTCCTCCCTATTACTATTTTCTTCTGGTGTCTTTATGGCTATTGATAAATCATCTAGATGTTCTGTTATGGCCTGTTGAAATTAAGAAATTTTGTGCATTAGATAATAAGACTGATTCTCCAGTSTTCCAAATACCTTAGTGGTACAGCCTACTCAGATGCTCAATTGCAGGTAGTATAAGACTAAAAGTCTCACTGAAGAGAGTAAAAAAAGCTATGAATTTCTTGAAAATCTTTTGGGCTACTGAGCTATAAAGTATCATCAGTTCAATATACATACAYACATACATACAGTTAATTGTCAGATCTTTCTATTTAGAAATCATGACATCACATGGCTCTTTGAGGTAATCCACTAGACTTYTTTAAATCTACCCCCAATTAGCCTTTCAAGTTAACGGCAAACTGACTTCATTACTGTAGTTAGCATCAGAACCAAAACATGTTCAAGCAATGTGTCTAAGCAACATGTAGAGTAGCATTAAATGGACACTCATTACTGAAAAACACTGTCAAAAATTACTGCGCTGGAAAACATTTCTGCACTTCAAAACTGGTGTCTGCAAGGAGAGATGTAGGACCAAACTGCCTAAACCAATACCCCCAAAATGCCCAGTTATTTCTCCTCCTCCAATGCAGGCAAGCCTTCATTTTATTGACATAACATATCCGACTCAATTTATTTTTTAAGCTTTTGTAGGCAAACTTACTTGGATTCAGAAAAAAATTATAATTGCCTGTATGCTTTCTTTTGAATTGCCTGTTCATCTCATTACAAATTATTAAAAATACCCTCTCTGGTAATCTTTTATGCTGAGAGAATATACAGAAACTTCAAACTATTTAAAACATAAAAATTCACATTTTTGCCATGGTAATCTTTTATGCTTAGGGATGATTATGCAGAAGCCTTAAATTATTTTAAAACATAGTATAAATTTAGATTTTTGCAATGCTGGTAGTATTAGGGCTTGTTTCCTGTTTTAATGTCAGATCTTCTCAGGGATCTGCAGTTCCATTCATTCCAGTAGGGGGCTGTGGCAAACAATGTAATGGCACCAGAAACCAAGTACATTTTACAATTTCTCCCAAACACTGCAAAATGAAAGCAAATGAAAGCCATTGGGATCTGATGCTAAGTCCACATATAKACACAAAGAAAGACTGGTAATAAAATTAAGTACCTCAGGATGTTGCGGAATAGTGGAATCGTGATGGTTGGTGGCCTTATTGTCATCTTCTTCTGTTTCTAAATCTTCTACCAGTAATGGCACTTCTTTTTCATCAGAAGAATTCACATGACTGCTTGTTYTTGTAGTTTCCTCTTCGCTGTTTTCAGAGTCTGTTTCAGATGGAGGGGTACCTAGCTTATTCTCCAAGTCTGGCTCTGGAGCCTCTTCCTTGTCGTCCTGTTCTGGTAAGCTCTCGTCAGGTACAACTTCTGTAACTTCTGTTACAGTTTCAGAAGAATCCTTTTCATTTCCAGTATCATAACCTTCGATACAAGGCTCCAGGTAAGCATTCAGAACTGCTGATATGGGAACATTATAATGTGGATAATAAAAGAGATCATGGGGTATCACGGATACTTTTGAAGAACTGGGTAGCGTTTCAGCTGCAGACTCAACTTCATCACAGCTTTCCAGGTCCTCTGGAGTTTTAGGTACATCTGAGAGAGAGTCATCAGATATTTCATGCTGTGTAGATAGTTCCTGGCATTCGAGATTAGAACCATTCAGTGAACAAGGGTTAGTTTCTATTGTCTCAAGGACAGGTGATTCCTGTGATTCCTTTGTATGTTCATCTTGTGGAATTGGCTGCATTTCCTCATTTAGAAGATGAAGAACATACTTCTGTGTATCTTCCTGTTTTGAGGTATCTTCTGGTAAAAGAATTGAGGACTGGGGTTTGCTCTCTTCTACTTTATTAATAGAATCATCTGTGAGTATACCTGAAGTCCAGGATAACGGACTCAAAGAAGAAGTATTGGCTGAAAGGCTTTTAGTTTCATTGTCATATTCAGTGGGGGTTTCCTTAGTTAATTCTTCAGAGTATTCTTCAAAAGAGTCAACAGAATTTTTCTGATCTGTCAGAACAGCAGGAGAAAGGTCATCGTTCTGTTTCAGTGGATCATCAGAGAGGCCCCCTTCACCTGGTGTGACTTTATCMTTTAGAGCCTCCCAGGAAGAATTGSATTCAAAACTGACAGATCCTGTAATTTTCAGTGAGGTAGGCCTTTGAGGCTCCTCTTCAGACGTTCCCTCTAAATCAACTAACACTTGACTCAGTTTCCCATTACAATTTTCAGAAGTTGTTTCTGATGGGATTCTCTCAGAGATATCATGAATATGGACCTTTGGAGGAGCTGGATAACTCCTCTCATGATTAACAGTATACATGTTTTCTTCACTTTCACTTAAAATCAAGATTTTGCCTTCTTTTTCTGATGGTGTGTCTTTGATGTGGACATACGTGGACTCAATTGGAAGCTCCTTGGCAGGATCTGTAAAGTCTTCCTGTAAGTGGTGATACACCATTAGAAAACAAATCCTACCTCAGATACCATTTTACATTTCCCAAACACTATGGAAAGAATAACTACCTAGTCTATCACTCTGTTACCTTGTGAATAGCCAATTAATGACTCACTTATTTTGAAAGTAGGAAAACTAATTTGGCAAGTCAAGTGTCTTGAACAAAGCTCAGCATCAAGAAGGCACTTGTACAGGAAGATCAGAATGCAGACAATGCTACTCCTCCACTGTTAATGCATTCATTTCTCCCTGCTGCACCTGTGCAGACAACTGACTTGGCTTTTTGACACAATCCCAAACCCTAGGAATAACATAAATCTAACAAGTCCAAGAAATCCATGGTGAAATATATTGATACACCAGATTTTTTCCTTCCAACAGACTCTATTAAAAGAAAGGTAGTTTTTTATTTTGTCCATTAAAATGCCAACAAGTCTTAATGTCAACCAATCTTATTGCTCATGTAATCTAATAATAATAATAATAAWAAATTATAATAATTTTAATTCCAATTACTTTAGTAATGCCCACCAATTTTATCAGCTACAAAATATATCCCAAATGGAACCTTCAGTCAAGAAATAAGAGAAAAATGCCTGTCTCTCCAAAAGGCTTTTGCCAATTCTTGGCACTGTCAGTCCCTGCTTAATCCTCAATTCTTTATATTTTGCATTAAAGTCTGAGTCATTTAAGTTGCAGTTTATTTCATACTTAAAACGAATGATTTTGACTGTTGTATAGACAAGATTCAGCTTTTGGTATCTTGTGTCTCATACCTGCTAAATTCAGACTGATCGCGGCCCTCAAACTTGAGAAGATAGATGCAAAAATTAAATTCAAAGTCGAATGGATCATTGTAGATCAAGCAATAAATTTCAGCCTTATTTATAATATACAAAACCAATATAGCAAAGTAGTAGAGTCCTATRAAAACAATTCTAACCTCTGAAAGTTACAATTTGATGTAAATATATAAAAGCACAATTCTATCTAAAGCATGTTAGCAATCACCAATGAAAGCCCATTTCACCGAATTTAACAAAAATGTGAAAAATCCAGGTTTGTTGTTTATTTTAGATGGCTTAGAGAGGAACCTAGAAAATAAATCTGACTTTATTACATACACCAAAGCAAATTAAAGAAATGATATGACATAAGAATAAAMACATACCCCTTCCAGCTCTGGGAAGTGCTCCAGAAATTGTGCCACGTATGTCACAATCGACTGTTCATCGGGTGACTCCACCATGATATCTGTGGAGACAGACGTGAGGGGCTTGAGCACACGCGCCTTTGAAACGCTCTTGCAGAGGAACAGATTGTCAGACATTTATCCTGCCRTTATGGTCACAGAAATAACAGCTACAAACACTTCTTTTTTTTTTCTGACAGATAAGACAGATGCTCTTCACTGCTGATGGCACTCAACAGAGTTCTCAACATCCTATTCACATCCATTTTTTCTTATTTCCAAACACATCCTGAACCCTGATCAGGGTCCCTTTTCATCCACTTTTATACTGCCATTTATGCTGCTGTCACCAGACAGTTGAGTGTTTTTGAGCTACAATGCAAAGGTTTATTTTTAGCAGGATGTAACAGGTCTTGTAACAGGCTGTTACAGTCTTGTAACAGGTGATGAAAGTGCAGTTGTGCTTTCAATCATGACATCAAGGCCTAGCACTGGTCTGGTAGAGTTCAGTAAAAAGAACACAAGAAGTCTGTTTATACATATTTTATATACACGTACACACTTAYGTTTATATGTATAAATATATGTGTGTATATATGTACTGTAAAGGGACAATTGGGAGATGCAAACGCAATTGAATGGGTATCTCTCCGTTTGCCTGGTATGGCAGCCTCGCACACTTCACCTGGAGTGACATTCAGTCTCTGCAGACTGCGTGTTGCAGAACACTACAGATGCACTGAGACACCCCTAAGCACAGCAATTAATGCCCTCTTAGAATGCAGATGCCACAAAGCATCTAAGCATGAACCAGGAGCAGTGTACATAGCTCAAACCGTGGTAAAATCTCTGGCCCCAAGGAGCCTACAAATATGACTGGAAGCATACAACTGCAAGCCACTGACCATTTTTATTTTTCTTATCAACAAGCTCAACACAYTGATCACATCAGCAGCCTAATCCCTGGGAGGTTTTTGGTGAGTATCACAATGCAATATCCATGAATTCATTATAGTCTGAGTGTTACCCAACGAAATTGATGTATTTTACCTTCTGGTTCGAGGAGCCGAGGAACACCGAGTTTATTCTGTGCTATGCTGAAAGCATCCTCCAGGTTTTCTCGTGCTGATTTGTCCAGTGCATGCTTCATGTCTACCAAAGTACAGTCTATGGCTTTTATGATGGCTAAGAAAGCAAGGCCACTCCTCCAACTGCTTGTAAAGTCCTGGACTGCAACGCCATACCTAAACAGAATTATGTACAGTTTACATGGGTGGTTCATTACAAAATCCAGAGTAAAGGTATCATCGTTTTCAGACTCCTTAAAGCTGAAACGTAAGGTTGCTGAGTAGCACTTGTCACATTTGAGATAYTTTTTCATTTGAAAATGTAGAAATACATCCAGAAAACACATGGGCTCTCAAACTGAATTGGTGTGGCTGACATCAACCTGCTTGTAGGAAGTAGTTAGGAAAAACAAAGCCCTCAAGAATTCAGCAACCACATTTAACATTCACAAAACCAAATGTCTCTGTGATTCTCGTTTCTGTTGCTCTCCAGCATTTTAATGCCATAGCTTGGGAAAATGTCCAAGATTTAAATATTTAAACACATAAGCATAAATGATTCACATTCCTGTGTACTTGGACTTCTATAGCAGAAAATTTGCCAAATGCAAATGGTGTCAGCATATGCACAAACCACAAGAGTGTTAATGCCCAAAGTTTTGGAGGAAAAACCAGCCATTAAACTTGCAATGGAATACAGTCTCAGAATAGAAAATTCTGCACAGATCATGGTACAACAGGATTTSAATTAGGCTATTATGTTTTTAATACTGCAGTTTCAAGAACAATTTTCTCTTTTTAGATCTTTTCAATTTGCAGTCTCTGGCCGGGCTGAAAAGTCTGTGGCCTTTATTTCTCAGGTCCTTACTTTCCATGTACCACCTGTTAGTGATGACATTTGCATCATTTTGGACTAAAACTTTGCTTTCTCTGTGGCCTGCACTGGCAGCAGTGAACTACAGATCTCAATGGGACAAGTTTGTCTGCTCAACAAGCACCCTTAGCTTCACTAGAGATAACCACCAGATGATGCAGTTCACAAGATGAAGTATTTAAGATGTAAATTTTTGTCTTCAACACTAGACACAGAAAATTTGTGTTCAAAGGCAGATTTGGACATATAAATCAACAGAGAAACATGCCAAACATTCAGCTAACCAACCTGCATAAGCAACTTTGACACATACCCTCTTTTAAACTCTCTGCCAGTCACTACTTCAATCAACAACGTACATAAAATACAGTCCAAGCATTTGCATGTGCATGAGACAACTTCCATTTTTTAACCTGTCAGTAACTGCCAGGATAACACACTACTACACAAAATGTTTTGGTGAAAGAGCTGCTTTTTTTTATTAGAGAGAGAGATGTGTCGAACACTGGAAATGCTCAAATGTAACAAGCTCGAGAGAAATAAGTCTCACTCCCTTCTCCTCTTTAATTCTGAGGAAGGAGGGGTTCTAGAAGGGACTCTGTCCTTCAAGGCACTCTGCAGCACACAGAGAAGCTTCCTCAGGGCTACTACTTAATTTAGAAGGCTGCTGATAAAGTTTTTCAGTTCACCCTTGGTTATACACCTAACCTTTAATTAGTGAAAACATATCGAATAGACTGCATGAAAGCCGGGGTCTGGGGAGCAGAGAATGATCCTGTTTTAAACAGMACCAAACAGGTCAGTGCAAGTTAACATTTAACACTCAAACCACAGAGCCAGCAGCAGGCTTCAAGGTCAGATGGCTGCTGCAAACACACAGCCGTAGTGAAACAACCCCCTGCAAAGACCCTGAGCTCCCAGACTTCAAAAGCAGAAAAAGCCATAGCACATGGTAACACAGCCATGGGGCAGGACAGAGAAAAGAGATGCAGCTGCAAAAGGGCAGGTGGCGAGACACTGTTTTATACAAGGGTTTGTGAGCTTACTTTCTGGTTTTCCTCTGAACCCAGATTAGAAGGGCCCTGATGGCTTTCCGCTGATCCTTCACTGTAATGGACATGTTTCTCTCCACGCTGGGAGTGCTGGGGGATGTGTCTGATTCTGGACCACTGGGCCCAGAGGACAGGCTGGAGGAGGAGGAGTTCCTGTTGAGGTTGCCTGTCAGCTCCTTAATCTGTAATAAAAGGTGAAATACACAGTGTTCTGCTTTGTCACTGGCTGCATCRTGTCCTTGTTTGCATGCAAACTTTAAAGAGATCAGTGCCGTAACTGAATTTTAAGTGATAATTATAGACCTGTTCATTTTAACTCTCAATTTGTATTTTACAGGCAAGACAGCCAGCAGGAGCCCAGGCAACAGAAAGGGCAAGCTACCAGTTTAGGCCTAACTGTGCAAATTAAACAAAAAAGCAAAGAAACATGTCCTTGAAAGAAGAGTTAGTTTAGCTGAAATTGTTCTCTTCCCAAGAGTTGCTTGAGTGAAATATTTTCAGTCATGAAATGGTGACCTGCAGCYGCACTCCTGTCCTTGGTCAGTACTGACATTTGAGATCAAATTGTCCACTCTGCTGCTTTTAGGTCCCCYGTGCTCTCTGATGCCAGGGAAACTGGTCCTGGTGACACCACCACTGCCTACGAGTCTGCCTGGCCAAACTGGTTCTGTGTAGCCTGAGAAGCTCAGCCAGGGAGAGCAGCCTCAGTGCAACTTTGAGATCTTTTTTTAACCCTGTAGCCATTTTTGAAATCAGACCAAGAGAATGAAACAGCCTCACAGTCTTACGATGGTTGCAGAACCCTCCCTCCATCTCTCTCTGTCCATTAGAATTTGGCATTGACTAGAAGGTAATTTTTAAACTATGTGTAGGTTAGGRAGCAGTTTTAATCTAAGCCTGGGGATAAATAAATTTTCAGGCTCAAATACATTTTATCAGTTCCAGGTCCTTTGAGATCTTTCATATGACCATGTATTTATRTATCAGTTGCAAATTTTTGCCACACTGAGTAAGTCTCAAGGGAACAGTGATTCCRAATGGAATTTCCCACCACATTGGACCAAATTCAAAAAGGTTATTGAAAATAAACTCTGACCTGGAACCAAACCCAGGACATTGGTTCAGATCCAGGGAACCTGGAACAGAACCCTGAGAAGGMACAGGAAAGAAGGGAAAGTAGTAATCTGAAGCTCTAATTCAGGTCCAAGTCAAATGAGGGCTTAAATTGTCTCCAATTTACATCAAAATAGGTTCAATGAAGTAAAATGAAAGCAGCTGCAAGTATAAAATTAGTGTATATTAGGAGGTAAAAGCTCAGGTTTAGCATGATTAATTATGTTCTTTAGGATTAAAAATCAATTTAAAAATCAGTATKCAGCTGGAATAGATGGATACCACGAAGACTGATTACTTATGATTAAAGTATTCAAATTTTATTACCTGAAAAAACAAGATTATATTCCATATTARTCCAAGTACCAGAGAGGAATTTCCATCTGCTATTTCTGCTGCATCGATGCTAACAAGCTTTACCTGTTGAAGAGATMATTAATTCAGAGCCAAATTCAAAGCAGCAAGGTATATGTAAAAAATGCACCGAGATTACCGGATATGTCCACACCACTTCTGCCACTGACAGGAGAGCAAAAAAGCAATATCAAAATCTTTTATTAATGAAAATTTGCCCTGATGCCCACCAAATCATTCTGCTCCTGGAATCCCTATSTGAAGCCGCCAGCCTAGTCTGCAGAACAGAAATGAACTCAGTTCTGCATTTTTGGGACCACAAATCCATTTCCTCCATACAAAAATGAAACAAATGGGTCCTCATTGAGTGGATCSCACTCATAAAAAGCAGAGGACCATTTCTCATACAAAAATCTATAATCCTAGTAAGAGCTGCTTACTTCCTTTTTGCTATGCATCTCCTTTCTCCTTGCTTATCCCACCTTACACAGCTTATTACAGAGTTCTGATTAAATCAGTTAGCAACAGATAGGGTTGCCTAATCCAAGCAAACTCTAGACTTTCCCACACTGAGGTTTTTTTTCCAGCTGATAGCACCAGGATGTTATTCTCTAAGACAACACAGACTTGGTTTTGGCAAAGGTMACAGAGGAAGGAGGAAAAAAGGAAGCTGTCAGTTCTGCACATGGCACCCAGACTGAGTTAAAGCCCAGCAGCCCATTTATCACTGAGGAATCCCGGATATGGTGAATCACTCAGCACTGCTCTACACTGCTACCCCAGTGCCACAAAGTGGATGCTGCCGGGTTCCACCCACTGTGGTTTAAAACCTAACCCTGGAGCTCCTGGTAGCCAAGGCATTTTGCCAACACTTTCATCACCACCCTTCACTAACTGGTTTGGTTAAGTTGAAAAAAGGAAAGCAAAATAACTTTTTATCTAGTGGTTTGCACAACGTTTTCAATCTTAGCAAGAAGACACCTCTACTTATCGTATTTCAAGGATCAGATTTYTTGCTAACTCCAAGGTATTTGGCATGGGAAAACCTTTAAGACTTAGTATATTTGAACAGCAGTTTCTGCAAAATGGGGAGCAAGTCACATTTATCGTAACACTGCTCAGCGTGACCTCTGTCCTCTTACTGCTGCTTGTGTTTGTCACCCAACCCAGCAGAGATACTCAGCTAGAAGACATTGGCTGCTTACTCTTAAGGGAACAAGAAATCCATAGAAAAATAGGTTTTAGCACTACTGACTAAAAAGCCACCTGCATTCAAGGCTCCTCCTGCCTGGCCTTGCTGATTGAGAACCTTGTGGGGTCCCAGCAACCAGATACAGTTCAGCTGCAGCTCTGCCAGGTGCTGGAACCAACAGAGAGAAATAATCTCATCTGCCAGTGGACCTCAGCTGGATTTGGGTAGAAAGCATCAACTGGGAAACTGTTAAGAAATATGTGAATATGTAAAATATTTCTTAGCAGTTCTACAGGAGGACGTGTAGACGTACACATTTAGGGCCAGGTCAGCCCCTACTGATGGAGYTTCCATAGGGAGGCTGGAACACCTGGAAGTTACTGGACAACTTCTTGACCTTTCACATCCTCTCCTGGAGAAAAAGGCAAAGGATRTTAAACCCCCCACATCTACAAGGTCATAAGAGATGTGCTAAAACCTCAAATCATGTTAATTCCTGCAATGGGGTTTGCAGCAACTCTCCTGCATGACAAGCACTGCTGCTGGAGCAGGAGCTAAGCTCAGTGCAGGCAAGCAGCAAAGTGACATCAGTTGCTGTTGGAGCATTCCTTGCAAGACAGGGTTTTGCACACACTGATCCCTCCTCACCCATAAAGTTTAACCTCACTGAAGTCCTTTACAGGAAATAGCCCAATACTTGTTTTCTCTTTCTGGAAGATCTAGGTATACCACATATACAAATTGTTACATGGCTGGGGCTTCTCTTGACCGCATTTGTCTCAACTTTTTTTAAAATCAGGAACTTTTCAACACACAGGCCACTTCCACAGGGCCTTGGAATAAGCCCATAACAGGAGAAATAACAAAAGGAATGTATCATTTCCAGCTGCAGGATCTGATCATACTTGGTCACTTACAATAGTGGGAAGTGATGTTGCAGTAGTACAAAACTGACTGTGAGGGAAATTATATCCCTGTAAGACTTTGATTCCTGGAATCATACATTTATATCATGTTCCCAGATTTCATTTTCTCCTGCCTTTGGCTCATGATCAGCTGTAGCAGTAATCAGTTTACCAGATAAATACATGATTTCTAATAACAACACTATTTCTGAGAAAAGGAAGTAGTCTACCATCAGTGTAACTGAAGTAATGCTACCAAGACCCAGATCATAAAAATTACTTGCATTTATTTTCTTTTAATATTGGGTTCCTGATCCTTYAATCCCATTGAACTTTAACATATAAAATGAACAACTAATCCTTGCTTTAGACTCTGTAGGTTTCTTGTGCATTTTTATGTGGTTTTTCAGCCTTGCTGCTAAGGCAAGTCCCAGCCTCTTTAAGCAGTACACTCCTCTTACATCCATGCAGCACATCAGATTATCAACAATTACAACTTGCAGCATACATCATGTGAAAAGATTAAGACCAGTCTTTGAAAATACTCACATTACTGTCCTCCAGGAACTTAAGTGCCTTGGCTATGTTGTTCAAACGAAAAATGCGATGGGTTGAAGATTTGTATTCATGCATCTAGATAAAAGAAGTGCCGCACTTTTAAAAAATGGTGGACTCATTCATCACATCATACAAAGCTTAAAACACTGAGGCAAAATAAAGCCAAGGAAATCTATCTATGAAAAATTATTGCCACCTTTTGTGAGCAATAAAACGCTTCAACTACACGAATGTAGCAAAACGGGGTTAGCAACCAGCTTTCCTGCTCTCCAGATTTTATCATCCTCTTGGACCTGCCACATTGATTGTTTATGTAATCATTCCCCAACCATGCTCAGTCACAGGATCAGATTTGCCTGAAAAATTCATAACAATAGATTTTCTGTTGTCTTGAATTAAATGAAATTATTCTAATTAGGAAGCATGAGCCATTTTAATAGCAGGAACAGGTAGGCGGGAGACAAAAAACTTCACTTTGGCAGAATTGAAAGATTTTGCATGCCTGGATCCCTGAAATTCCACTTTGGCACACTGYTTTTATCCCATGTGTGTAAAAACAGCTTGCAAGAAATTCGGCCAGCTGACCGTATCCCATCCCATACCTCCTCCCTGACCTCCCAGGGCATAGCCTAGGTTTTACCATGATGTGTCTCCCCCTTCAATTCCTTTCAAGCCTGGCCCTGAATGCAGTCTGTGTGAATGCATATAAGACACTGCTGCTTCTGCTGCAGCTCTGCCTAACTCCAAGAATACTTAAAAATATTCTTGACTCTGAATGTGTGAGCACACATTCCGGGGCCATTCCTGCTGCAGGGAATGCAAGTCAGTCACTGCACAGCATCACCAGGTACATCTGCACTGGTGAGACAGCTGCTCCTCTTACCCAGGTGCAGTAGCCACACATAGGAGAGTGAGTTCTCGATGACAAGATTGATGGAGAAAGAAAGCATTAAAGTAAACTGTAACTGTGCATTTATATTTGCACTGGGTGTTCCATTTCTGGTATGTTGAACTTTACACAGCTCTTACAAAGAAAGGTGGAGAGAAGTTTCTGATTAGTAAAGCTTTGGCCTGCTGATCTAGACCATATTAGTAAGACTAATGAAACCTGAGCCAGGATACCAGAATAAAACTCAGACCTACAGCAGACATCAGAAGAGTGTCATAATGATCTTAAACRAAATGGAAATAGAATTTATGGATTAAAAAAAAATGATACAGCAAATATGTGTTTTCTTGGTAATGTGACTTGGGTAATCTCCAAATGGAATGTGTGAGCATTAAAGAATTAAAGCCTTAAAAACTCTGAGGGGTAGGAACATTAACACTGATCACACACCGTTTACACCTCGTTGTTATATATTTCCTTGAAATCCATGTTACAGCTCAGGACATCAGCCTGTAACATAAGGAATTTGCAACACAGTTSCTGGAATTCTTACTACTTCCTGCAAGACATGGGCTGGAATTCACCCTTATTCCTTGGATGTCCAGGCACYGTTGCTTGTCACATACTGAACCCCTATGTGTGGAGGTTTCTCCCTTTCTGTACATACCAGCTTTTGTCCTGACAGGACTTCCAGGAGTGCCATCAAGATTTTGCCATCTTGTATATCAATAAACAAGTCTTTCACTTTCAAAGGAGGCTTGCACTGTGAAGAAAAGAAACCAGCGAGCTTTTAAAGAAGTGCTGTTTGGTAAGTCACCTTAATTTCAGAGAGACAGAAGGAGAATTTTACAGAGACAGAGACACAACAAGTAAATCATAACCTGCAGGACGAAAAAGCTGGTTATTTGTCACATCTGTGGCAATTCTGTCCTAGGAATGTAGGAGCTAAAACTGAAATCAGGCAAGGACTAATTCCAGATTTCCCATAACAGAATCTAACCTAAATACTCTGCCTGAGAAACAACCACCCAAGGGCTGGGTGTTGATACCTCAGACTAAGACACATCCAGCAGAAGCAAATACCACTTTATGCAGAAATAAGCCCGTGATCCAGCCGGCCACAATGGCCTTTCTCATCTGAAAGGCTTCTGGTGGTGCCACTCTGTCTCCCAGTATTTTCTAAGTACTTTAAAAAGCAACTTTTTGTATTGTGTCTCTCTCTCCTCAGCAAACTCCTTCAAAGGGAACCATCTCCTYACTTCAATGTGGTGTGTGCACTTCGAGGCACACAGCCAAGTCAGCTCAGCCTACAGGGGTAGTGCCAGCTGCAGCAGTTACATTCTGCTCAGGTGTCACTCACCCACGTGTCCCTAAAGAGTCCAATCTTTTCATCTTTGGTTGAGCAATGAGTTTCAGTCGACTCAGCACTGCTCCTGGCAAACTGGGACCACACATTTTCATTACTGGTCTTTAATCTAGCCAAGAGTACTAAACAATGTTCCATGAAAGAAAGCAAAGTATCTTTCATTTCAAAATTAAATAACTTATCTAAAAGACTAAAATMAAGCACCTTCTATTCCTTCAATACTTAAAGCAACAACAAACAGAACTCCGAAATTCATACTATTCCCAATTATCCCAGGACCAGCAGAGCCAGATCCCCTCAAAAGATGACCCTAGTGGGATCACACCAAAAGTTTCCTGGAAAAATACAAAAACACTTCATTGCTGCCTCTGAAGAAAAGAAGCCACTCTGCAAAAAGTGCTTCTTTGAGTATAAAGGCAGAAGCCACCTTTCTCAGTGAGTGTCCTTAGGGAATCACCTCTAATTAGAGACAGCTTTGGKGAGGCTCTCATTGTTTACATGGTCATGTTTATTATGCCTCTTCCAGGAAAAACATTAATATAGCAGAAAGCTTTTGCCCTTTCTCCAGGAAAGCGTTTTTATTTGTTGAATCAGAGAGGAAAAACATTTGTATGCACTCCAGAGAAAGCTGACATGCCCACAAAGGTTTTAAGCCTTAATATGCCTGGCACAGTAGAATTAACAGCACCCTGCAACCTTTTTCATTRTATAATTCCTTCTGTAAATCAAAGACCTTCTTTACAGTCACATATTTGACARCCCTTTCTGACAAGTTCCAAAACTGCAGTTGGTTTGAAGCCCTAGAGCCTGTTTCACAAAGGCATCACGTAACCCTGTCTTCCTTCCGAGAGGGCTTTGGGAGCAATTGCTAGTCAAAACATTTCCAACTAGCCTTGTTCTGATTTTCCACTGAGATTTAAGAGGATCCCTTTATGCCTTCAAAAACACTCACTGCAGTATAGTGGACTTAAGCAACTATATATGTGATGCCTTTCTTCTAAAAYCCCTTTGCTTCATTGTGTCTGAAATGCAATCACTTCTAAAGTACTACAGAAGCTAAACTGAGAGTCAGCCCAAATCTAGACTCAGTCTGTACTGTTTGAAATTTAGCCACGCATACTAAAGCCTTGAAAAGCTCAAACACCAGTCCAAGTGAGGGCTGGTAGATCAGGGCTTCATGTAGATCAGGAAGCTGGTCTCATTCCTTGATCCTTCACTAAGCATTGCTGCTGTCTCAGTAATATTGGTTTTTTTTTTCTTTTCAACCTAAACAGCAAGAAAAATGTTCTGTGCATGACAGACTACTCAGGATAGGTAGTACTTATCTACTATCAGTAAGAACAGTAAATTAGGTTTAAGAGCCATATTATGGTATGATTAAGAAATAATTACAACTAAAAGATATGAAGTGATGTCCAAACATTAGTTCTCTGAKGTAAGCAGATACATGAAGATCCCATCATATTCCCCCCCCAACAACATGGCTGACAAGGAAATACTGTTTCCCATCTTCAGATCTGAGATGAAAACAGGTTCTGAAGAACAGTTGTCTTTGGCTATGACTCCTCAGAGGTTCAAACTTCCAGTCCAGARACACAGACACCATCACCTCAGAGCCTCAACCATATTTGATTTTACATGGGAAAATTCTACCCTCATGGTAACAGTAAGTTGCATTAAAGATTTAAATGCATCTGGGATGATAAATGCCAGTCAACCATTYATTGTACCTGAAAATGAATTTTAATTAATCCAGAAACAGGCTTTGATCTTCCTCTCATTCTCCTCCAAACGTCTACATATGCATAGATGTCAACTTTGCTTCCAAATTATAACTATTTTGGAGGAGTTAACTGTAATCTGTCTATTGCTATGTCCTTGTATCCCAATATCCAGACTGTTTGTCAGTCTTACCTTTCCCAAATGCAGGTTTATCCATCTGGTAAAGGTTCTCTTCTGTACATTTTCACGTTCAACTAGGAATATCAGAAACAAAAAACAGCACTTAGGTTTCCAAAAGAGGGAAAGCTGATAGGAAATTTCAGACACTGATGCACAAAACAGTTAGAATTCATGAGAACCCTGTGAATAAAACAAATATATTCTAAATCAGGAGATACAAGGCAGAGTTTCAGCACTTTATTCAATTTCTTTGCCCAGACATGAGCTATACATGTGTAGATGCATTTTAAAGGCAGGAGGAAGGAATTTGTCCTAGTTTTGCAATCCTCAGTGTTAAGTTTCTGAGAGATGAACRTTTATGGTCTGGGCCCAGCTCTCCAGTGTTGTCACCCTCTGAGCAGGCAGCTTGACCCTTCTGTGTCAATTTATAGGATTCTTGCTCTGACACCCTCATGCAAATTGGGYGGGCGAGGATTCCAATGTACTTACTCGTAAGCACAAGGAAACAGGACCAACACAACAATTTTGTCTTCATTCTTAYGGATGGAAAAGCCTCATCAAATCCCATCTTCCCAGTCTCCTAACCAGAATCAAAAATCATTTAGAATCAAAATTCCAAGGCCCCAGACTGAAGAATCACTTTGTTTATATTGAAATAAGACTAGGAGTGCTTGTTCCTTGCCAGAAGTGCTGTGCACTGGGTCTGTACAAACAGCTCCTGGGCCAGCTGAAGAGTTTTTAATCACATCTGCCATTTCCTGAATCCATTTCCATAGCGAACTACAGCAAGAGTGTAAGGGGAATCATGTTACTGACCAGCTTTCATTTACCTTCTAATATAAAAAAGTAAACCATATATTTAATGTAAATGAAGTAGACTGTCAAAGTAATATTTCACTTTAAAGACAATTATTCTCAAGTGGTTCTCAAGTTTCACTTGAATTAAGGAAATCTGGCAATTTATGAACAAAACCCATTAAAAATAGTTATGTGCTGTATTTCAATTTAYTCATAGAGCATATCAAATATATTTAAAAACCATTTTGTGTTTCTTCAGCCCTACAAAAACAGCTAACCTATCTACTGGGAAATCACATTCTGTAGAAGTCTGGGTTGTTTTTATTGGTCAGACTGATTATAGGACAAGGAATAGCTTCCGTAAATCAAATTTTAGTATTGTTCTTCTTGGTCATTTTAACCAAAGGGTCAACAGCCTCTAATCTTATGTATAATTGTTTTCCTTACTTTGATGCATTGGAATAGAGCTTTTCAGCATGAAGTACATCTGTCCCTGATGGCTGTTTGGGCCTTTTAAGTCCTCTTATACATAAAATCTGCTTTTCTCTAAGATTGGTTAAAAAAAGTCATTACACTTTAAATGCTTCAGAAAACATAGAAAATGCCAAACTAATTATTGCTGTTGGTCTTTCTTTTAAAATGTCTTAGAAGAATATGCAAAGATTTGAAACAGCTCTCTACAAATCAAACTGTAAATTATATTAGGATTCCAGAGTATCTGTAAAACCCCCAGAGCATTTACCACCTACAAATCCCAAAGTACAATAAACTGAGAGATGTGTCACAGATTTCTTGGGCTTCGCTTCCTTCAGCTACTCAGCCCCAGAACTGGCTTTGCACACACTCCCACAGCCACTGCTGAGCAGCAGAAGTGCTTTGTGTCACCCAGGGTGTAACTTCACAATCGAGCTGTTAAATTTAACCTTTGACGGTGGGTGGAGGTTAATGTTAAGCCAGAGCTGTTCCCAGATATATTTCTTGCTGTTCAAATACAGGTGTTGGTGCAAAGGGCAAGGCACAGCAGGCAGAGGAGCTAGCAGTAGGTAACAGGGCCACCTATTAAATTTGTCTGAAATGCTCAGGAACGCTTGGATGGGCACCAGTGCAGGCTTCGGGAAGGAAAAAGGAGACCTTATCAAACAGGCTGGATACACAGGCTTCCAGTGTCTACCAAAATTAAAAAGGAAACACAGAAAGATTCACAGAAGCAAATATGCTTTCTGGTATCCTCAGAGGTTTGGTTTCTTGTCATATTTTTCATCAGTCTCTTCAGCAACCTTCACTTTCAGTGTAAATAAGGATGCAAAAGAGAGCTGTGTTTATTTACAGATCATCCACAAAACTGAGCACACACTGGCTCCTAATTTTGCTGCAGAAATTCTGCCATGATGCAAATTAGGAGCTGCACATATGCCTCAAAGGATGGGTGAGCCAAGCTGGTATTACTGCTTCGGGAAAACTCACACACTAAACACACAAAAAAAAAAAAATGCAGCACATTCAGGAAAGGACTTGCATATATAGACAGGTTTCTGAGATCAATCTGTGCACGTCTCTATGGCAAAAAGCCTCTTTCCAGGAAGAGTGATGATACGAAAATGAGCACATTTGGTTCTGTAAAATTCTAAAGCAACAATCACGAGTAGAGAAGGAAAGGGGAGGAAATGTGTTTATAAAATCCCTAAGGCAGACAAACCCCTAATGCAGTCCATATGCTTGATGGCAGAGAGAACAGGTATTTACTGATGTGTGCCKTTAACTGCTATTCTGTTCCAGCTTTGTGGACCTCCCAGTTTCAGCACAGCCTCTTTTCTCCACAATCTTTTCGTTTAAAACTATTGTAGAGACTCTATAAACTTTATACAGTTTCTATAAATTAAATCAAATCTTTTTTTCCCTCTTCACACCTACTATTATATAATAGTGAAGAAAATCATTCAAGTCCAAAGTTCCTATGCTTACGTATCTAGTTTACTAAAACTGCACTGTGTTTACTGGGCAGCTAGAGAGCAATAACACTATTATAAAATAATAATTACGCCCACCATATGGCTGGCCTGCACACAAAATCCTATACTGGAAAAAAAGGATGCCTGCTGTGAGGKTTGAATTGAAAGATGTAATGCTGGAAGGTAGTAAAAAGTTAGGAACTGCCTTTTTGATTTAGCTCAGCTAAGACCTTGACGTAGGAGAAAAATTACAGAGAGAAATTCTGACCGCCAGTCAGAAGCTGGGTCTTCCACACTCTTCCAATAAGCCCAACTACAACATGCTTTCACAGGAGGGTGTAAGAGGCACAGTATTTGTATCCAAGTGAAGGGGTAAGGCACTGACAGGCATTAGCTGCAATAATTTGGAGGGAAAGAAACCACTGAAGAAGAAAAAGGTGTACTGTTAGGATGATGTATAAACCACACCGTTCTCTGCCCCACAACCATGTCCTAGAGGACAACAGAATTTGGCAGAATTTGTCTCATCCCCAGTAACTGCACCTAGTCAGTGTCCAATATTCACAAAGATATACTGCTTTGTAAAATCTTGTGGCCAAGGCAACTAATGCCTCAAAGAGCAAAACTAAGCTAGTTCAAAAATTGGGCAAAATTCAAGGTTAAGCTGCTAATGCACAAAGGAGTTCAGCTGTGTAGCACTATTTCCTTCCCCATCAGACTAGAAATTCTTCAGGCATTACAAATGCCATTTCTCCTGCTCTCAAATCTCCTCAAAGGTCACTGCTCTTTGCGTCACCTACCGGAAGCCAATCCCTAAGAGCCTCTACGTTCAACAGAAAATTGGAGATAGCAAATATTGATTTGCTTTTAAACACTATTTATTCTCTTGTTGTAGAACCAGTTATGAATAATCCTCTGAGGCACACCACCATGGGGCTGGGCACTTCAAGGAAGTATGAAATGTGGAAGATGATTTGAGTAGAACACTTGTCAGTGTGTAATTACATAGATTCAGGAAACGGCTTGATTTGCATGTATGGATATTACTCCCAAAGCAAAGCAGAAGGTCACTTAAATTTGCTTCCAAACCTATTAGCATTTCATCTAAGATATCATCATCAAATGACRTTAAAACTTTCACAAACAGGCCAAACTGGTTTGTAGATCCACTTACAACTTACCTTCTGGACAACTTGCCAAGTTCCAGTTTTATAATAAGCACAAAACCCAGCTTCCCTGTTTCTACCACACGCTCCACTTCTATAGAAACAAGATACACTTGCTATTAACAAGAGGCAAGTTTTCAAGATGAAAACAATGGTGCTGGCCACCTGTGACAGAGGATGCTTTAAACACCCTTCACTTCAGAGGCAATAACTTGTCAGGATAATCGCCACATATTCACTTCATAAGTACCCAGTGGCTACCACAGGACCAGTTCATAATGTGCATGGCTCTGGAGGCATCCCAGCATTTGCTAAAGTCTTTGATCTGGAGAAAATTACACTTCTTATTACACAATAAAAATATATGGGAAAACATATGATAATTAAATACTACAGCCTAATCCCAAAGTGGAACTAGGTTCAGACATCCAAAGTCTTGGGAAATACAAATTCATCTCCTTCTGCCTTCCTCATCCACAAGCCCCCATTCACACACTTATGCAATCAATCAGTGTCTAATGAACACACATTGAACAATTCACTTTTGAACTCCAGGCCAAATAAATACGAGAATAAATAAAATAAATAAATAAATAAATAAATAAATAAATAAATAAATAAATAAATAAAATGAGAACTGGATTTTAAACTGGGCCTCATGGTGTCCCTGCACTGTGACTCAGCCTAGGTATTTCTGATTACTCGGCATCCTACTAACAAATCTGTGTACTCTTCTCTGCAAACAGTGTTCACAAAGGACGCCAGACTCACCTCTTAGAAAATGGATTTTATGTAAATTGCTCATTTGAGATGATGATAGATGCAAATGATGTCCTGCAGGCAAATAAAGACCATGCCACTAGTTACAGTACATGGTCAGGCTCYAGAACAGTGATGATAGATCCTGGGTACTGACAACCCTAAGGAAGCACAGATCCTCATCCAGGAGACCTTCCACCATTCAAACACAATACGTGGGACAAAGTTCAGGTACACAGCCCAAGGACAGAGCACATGCAAACAGCACATCTGGCGCAGGAAGGATGAATAAAGGTGTGCTGTAACAAAAGTAAAAAGGGGGTGAACAAGGGAGACTGGGGGGAGGAAGTAGCAACTGACAGMAGAAGAACTGGAGAGCTTAAGATGAAATGTGTAAAGTAG